CAGTCTGGTTTTATTTTTTAACACAAATGTTATATTTACCCATTCTTCTTCAGAGGAAGTCACCAAAAAACTTTTTAAAACTAAAATACCGTTCTACATTTTATTAAAATGAATGTGAAGAATAAATTAAAATGTCAGACAGGACACTGAGAAAATAAATGGCTGGTATTTTTCAAAGTTGATTAAAAATAACATGTTGTGAAATACATATACATGTAATTCAATTCTAAAAGCCATTTGTGAGTTTATCTAATGAAGAGACGAGCAAGCTTATAAGCAAGTCATAGTTTTGATCTTAAGCTACCTTAGCTAATGAGGAATCATTGGAATAATGATTGAATTAGTGAAATTATTGTGTTCAAATAAATTGCATGAGTAAACAATTGTATGACTAACAACCAAAAAAAAAAAAAGAAAGAAAGAAAGAATTATTGCAGAAAAGTGCTATTGAAACAGTTCCAGTAATCAGGTAAATAGGGATTGAGTTAATAATATTAACAAACAGTTTTGAGCACCAGGTATATTTCAATCTGTCAGCTGGATGGTAGACCTACAAAGACTAAGAAATCAAAATTCACTCTTTCCTAGTGAAGGATGAAAATACATAGACAGGTGTATCAGCCAGTGTCCTGTGTGTCAATGGTATGAACAGGGGACCTACAACAATGGAAACCTGAAAGGCTACTAACTATAGGGAAAAAATGCTTAGCCTCTCCAGTAAACAGAAAAAGTACAAATTAAACCCAAAAGCTATACTTTACTTCTCTCAGAATGGCAAATACTAGGAAGATGCATAACAACTCTTCAAAGGTGATTGAGAAATAGGAAGGACCTGACCACAGTGAGACCTGCTGTCGCTCCCCCAAGACAACAAATGGCAGCTGTCAGAAGAAGGCTTATAGCCCTGCCTTGATCCAGTGGTCTCGCTCCTGGGCGTATATGGCAGGGAAATTCGTACGTTCGCCCATGACACGATGTGAAATTTTCATTTCAGCGCCATTTCAAGCAGCTTGAAACAATCTACATGCCCATTACTAGAGGAATGGTATTAGAATAATGTCATGATTGGCTCACAATGGATTTAGAAGCTGTCAGTTTGAAATGGATAGAACAACACAAAAACATGGCAGTGCGTGAAAAGTAAAAAGCAACAAAGGCTAGAGTGCAGTATTGTTGAGGAAAGTAAGCTCATAAGAAAACGAAAAAATAATATTTTCCAGAGTTGCATATCTAGCCAAAGAAAATAGTCTAAGCAAGTTCTAAAGGAGAGACAGGGTAAGGAGATGTGAGAATTAAAAATGAAAGAAAGGATTATATTGATAAAATTAAAATAAGTCAAAAACCTTGCAGAAACTGATGAGGACGTTGGCTATAGCCTGAGGGGTATGATTAACTCAGCTTTACACTTGACATTCATGTAACCCTAACCCAGACAAGTGACTAAGCAACAGAACAGAATAAAACAGTAAGAGGTGTGCAATGGAAGCAGAGGTGGGAAAGAAAAGCAGCCAACCAAGAGCAAAGAAAACGGTTCCACAGAGCTTGTGCTGCCTGGGAAATGCTTCAGTGATGGATGAGGACCGGGCCAACAGACAGGCTGTGGTACACAAGGGTGGGACGATTCATAATGGGCCAAATTTTAGAAGAGGTGAAAGAAGAGAGGCTTCAGAAGTGTATCCTAACTTGACTTACAGATTCAGACTCAGGGGGCCTGGGGACACTAGGTCACTTTCTATTGTGTGCCTTACAAATATTTTTCCCCATTTTTATTTTTATATTTTCTATGCAAAAACTTCTAATAATTATGTAGTGCTTACTATATTTTGGTGTCTTGTTGATTAAAACCAAACCACTCTAAGATATTAAGTTTTTTTTTAATTTATTAATTTTAGAGAGAAAGGGGAAGGAGGAAGAGAGAAAGAGACAGAGATCTTGTACATGCCGTCCCCCGAGATCCAACACACAACCTTGGTGTGTGAGGACAATGCTCTAACCAATTCAACTACTCAGCCAGGGCAAGTTGTTCTTTGGTAAATGCTTGAAGACAACTTGATTTCTAAGCAGAATAAACCTTTTGTTTAAATGCTCTTGGTGCTATGAAGGTGCTTAGCAAATGATTTTCTACATGGATTTCAAGGGAAAACTGTTGCCGCACCTGTACCTTACATCATTATTTTGTAGTTGGTGGGATGTGAATTAATGGAGATTTCTGAATTTTGAAATACTAATAATTTCTCAACAAGACTTTCTGACACTCACAACTCGCGTCAATTTTGTCAACTTGGTCTAGTTTTTCTTTTAGATGCGGTGTCTCCAGAACTGTGTCAAAGCTCATTGGATGAACTCTTAACTTTCCTATGTTTCCAGCGTAGTTTTTTCCTTACAAAAGCTCACCCAATTGTCACCACACTTTGGTGGTATTATTTAAAAAAATGGTGATTATGTGTTTACTTAAATATGATGAGGTTGGGCAACAGAAAGCACATTTGGGTTTAACAATTGCTTTTCTTTCTTTTGGCAGGATTAATAATTCTTTTTATTGGCCTGGCAGAGAGGAAGAGAACAAAGCTTTAACAACTTCACAATTCTGACCAAAAAAAGTCAGAATTGGAGAAAATCATGTATTCTTTGCCTCTTTATTAGACCAATACTAAATGCCATCATCCCAAGTTAAGGGCTTGGCAGCACTTTTTCTTCCCAGTCTATGGGAAAGTTGAGCCATCCATGTTGCCTTACTATTTTAAGATTTCTGTTACAAACTACTTAGCATAGCCTGTATATCTTCATTCAGAAAACTTAACAGTCTCAGACTTATTGGTATTATATCACCTTTAAATGCCAATATTTTAAGGCAGCTTTGGCATGTGGTAGGATTTGATGTAATTTCCCCCCATTTAGCAAGCAAGAGAACAAAGGTAGAATTTACTCAGAGTTAAGCTATAGACAAAAAGTAAATAGTAATTCATCAAATAGTAGGCCTTTATACCGCACAGAAAAAGGACTCGACTATACCTCAACTCCATACTTCTGGCACTGAAATGAAAAATGAATTTCCAGTCTTTACTGTTTATCAGAAATATTGAGCCCTTTCTTATTTTAGTGGACTTTATAGCCACATCTGGGGAGAATATTGTGTACAGCCAGAACAAGCTGTATCTGGAGGCCACTCCTCACTCTGGAATAACTTCCAATGCAAATAAACCACAATATGCATTTTCCCAAAGATCAGATGAATACAAACGTCAAGCCAAAGTAGAAATTAAATTGTCAGGCAGCTTAATGTCCATAGTTTGCTAGAAATATTTTGGAAGCATGGATATATTCCTAAAATAAGAATACGAAATGAAATTCTTCCATATATATGTATTTAATCTTTCTTTACCATTCTATAGGTATGAGTTAAGAAAGAGTTGCCAGATGAATGATGACCTAATCTGGGGCCAGATTTTTGCTGTAAAATGTGTGCAGAAATAGTCTCAGTGGTCTACTTGGTTTAAAAAAAAATGAAGTAAGAACAAATGCCAGTGTTTTTGTACATATGTTAAAAAGTATAATTTTTGGCATTCGAACTAATCATATGAACGTCCCATAGTTAGGTGAAGATCCCATTTGTTATTGTACACCAACTATTGTTCTCATAAAATTACCTGAATTATGTTTATGAAAGTAATCTGGGTCTTAGATCTGAACATCTTTCATGGAAGGCATGGGGCACTAAAAATGCTCAGTAAAATCACTTTGAAGAACAATATTGGAATGTCTAGCCTTTTGCCTCAAGACCTGTTTTCTAATTAAGCTATCATACAGGACAACTTTTCTAAACATAATTATAACATTGCTGCTTTTTCTAGCACGGTGGCTTCTTTACTTCATCTTTTTCTTTTTTATTGAATAATTGTCGCTTAACCAATCAATCACTGCCACCAGCGCACATGCTTCTCCCAGGCAGGGACTTTGTCTTAATTGCTACTGAATACCCAGCATATGTCTCAATGCCTAACACAGAGAAGTTGCCCAATAGGTAGGTGAAAACGAAATGAATGAAAGAATGATTGAACAGACTATGGCTCACAGCCTTATCTCTATCATTGACTTCATCTGTGTATAAATTAACCATTTTAAGCTTCAGTTCCTTCTTTTGCTAAACAAATATAAATCCTAGCCTGATTACCAACAGGAATAACAGTGAAACAATAGACTTGACAGTAATTTGAAAATAAAACATTCAAAAAATTGGTACAAAAATTGATACAATCATATCAATATACATTTAATAAATAATTTCTTTTGCAAGATGTGGAATATTGGAAATGCTCATGTGTGATACTGACTACAAGTGTAAACAGGTCAGATAAAACAATACTCATTGTGTTAAGTGTATTGGCTAATAAAGTGTTATTATATCATTTTTATTATGGTTGTTAGTATTATGAAAAAGACTTGGAACTATCAGGTGAAAAGGTGTTATTGAGTATAAATGTCACAACTCAAAACCATGTTTTAGGCTTTTTCCCATAATTTTGTCCTCCTGCAGTTTTATAATTTTTTGTTTGTACCAGAAACTTCTTGATGTTTTGGAAAGTTTTATTTATAATTTTGATTTATTTAGTTCAATTCATCAAAATTATGCTCATTTTACTTGATTGATAATAAATTGTAGATAGATTAGATAGATAGATGATAGATAGATAGATAGATAGATAGATAGATAGATAGATAGATGAACAGATATTCTTATTGAGGCATGGTCACATTCAATACGTTATCAGACTTGAAATAAATGAACAGCCTGAAAGGATCTTTCAAATCAACCTTTCATCATCCTTTAAATTGGGACAGGTAGGTACAATCAACATGTAGTAGAAAAAAGGAAGATTTTGGGTCAATGTGATTCCAAAGGAAGAAATCTGACATATTTTAAAGCAATGTTTATATTACATTTGTTAATTTTATTCTATTTCCCTGCAGGTTTAAATGTTTATTTGGCTACTTGGCTACTGATTAGAGAACACAAAATGAATAACTCAACAAACTCCTCTAACAATGGCCTGGCTCTGACCAGTCCTTATAAGACATTTGAAGTGGTATTTATTGTCCTTGTGGCTGGATCCCTCAGTCTGGTGACCATTATTGGGAACATCCTGGTCATGGTCTCCATCAAAGTCAACCGCCACCTCCAGACCGTCAACAATTACTTTTTGTTCAGCTTGGCCTGTGCTGACCTCATCATTGGTGTCTTCTCCATGAACTTGTATACCCTGTACACTGTGATTGGCTACTGGCCTTTGGGACCCGTGGTGTGTGACCTTTGGCTCGCCCTGGACTATGTGGTCAGCAACGCCTCAGTGATGAATCTGCTCATTATCAGCTTTGACAGGTACTTCTGTGTCACAAAACCGCTGACCTACCCTGTCAAGCGGACCACGAAAATGGCAGGTATGATGATCGCAGCAGCCTGGGTCCTCTCCTTCATCCTGTGGGCTCCGGCCATTCTCTTCTGGCAGTTCATTGTGGGCGTGAGAACTGTGAAGGACGGGGAATGCTACATTCAGTTTTTTTCCAATGCCGCTGTCACCTTTGGTACTGCCATTGCAGCCTTCTACTTGCCCGTGATCATCATGACTGTGTTATACTGGCACATATCCCGGGCCAGCAAGAGCAGGATCAAGAAGGACAAGAAGGAGCCTGCATCCAACCAAGACCCAGTGTCTCCAAGTCTGGTCCAAGGACGGATAGTGAAGCCAAACAACAACAACACGCCCGGCAGCAACGACGGCCTGGAACACAACAAGATCCAGAACGGCAAAGCCCTCCGAGATGCTGGGACCGAGAACTGTGTCCAGGGGGAGGAGAAAGAAAGCTCCAACGACTCCACCTCCGTCAGTGCCGTGGCCTCTAACATGAGAGATGATGAGATAACCCAGGATGAAAACACTGTTTCCACTTCCCTGGGCCATTCCAAAGAGGAGAACTCGAAGCAAACATGCATCAAAATTGTCACCAAGACCCAAAAAGGTGACTCAGGTACCCCGACCAATACCACCGTGGAGCTAGTTGGGCCTTCAGGTCAGAATGACGATGAAAAACAGAACATCGTCGCTCGCAAGATTGTGAAGATGACCAAGCAGCCTGCAAAAAAGAAGCCTCCTCCTTCCCGGGAAAAGAAAGTGACCAGGACGATCTTGGCTATTCTGTTGGCTTTCATCATCACTTGGGCTCCATACAATGTCATGGTGCTTATCAACACCTTCTGCGCACCCTGCATCCCCAATACAGTGTGGACCATTGGGTATTGGCTTTGTTACATCAACAGCACTATCAACCCTGCCTGCTACGCACTTTGCAATGCCACCTTCAAGAAGACCTTTAAACACCTTCTCATGTGTCATTACAAGAACATAGGCGCAACAAGGTAAAACCTCTTTGGGATGAAGGAAGGTGGTCAATGGGAGAGTGGGGAAAAAGAAAAGGGGTAAAAGAGCTAGTTTTCAAATCCCTGCCATTGCACTTTATAGTCTTATCATGGACGTGCAACTAAGAAGCCCAACAGTGACGCTCTTATTGTGCCTACGCTCCAGTCTGAGAAACTTGCACCTTATAAACTTTGTCAGTGTAGGAGGCAGCAGCCATGAAGGCGACATGATGAGGTGTGGATTTAAGGAATGATCTGCGTTCTCTCAGTCTCTTGAAGAAGGGCTTCTGAAACTACAATTTTATCAGTCTCTGCACAAGAAGAATAACCTCGCTCTTTTCGTTGTTGTTGTTCCGTGTCTACATACGGATGAAAGGCCACAGTTAGACTCTAACGCGGAGACTTAAAGAAATAGACACATTGTACAATGGGGACGTAAAGAAAGAAAAACGGGTGTAGAAACAATCTCCAGAGTGCTAAGCATATATTATTTTTTTTGTTATGGTTTTACTTGGAGGATTGCAATGTAATAAATGCTTATTTTTTTACCTTACCCCTTTCCCCCTTCAAAGGAAAGCAAACGAAAACAGACAAAACCCCAACTAGATCACATCATTATTTTTCTCGTTATGAGATTTGCTTTTGTACTGTTCTACATTGTGTAAGGACAAATTATAGAGGACTTTCACCAAATCCAACCAGAGACAGCCAAGAAAAGGGGCATTTCAGCCCTGCCCATTGTGTCCTTAGCGTTCTTTGGGGGTATACAAGCCTATAAAGATGAAGTTTACTTATGATTCTGTATGGGAAATGGTTTTACCAACCTGGTTTTCTCCCAAACTACTCTCTTATTTTAATAGACCAGCCTCCCTAATACATACACATGCTTGAGAAACCAAAGTGATTTTATTAAATTGAGGTTTCATCAAGTTCAATAATGGTCCTTCCAGTTGGAGAAAGTGTACTGAGGCCAGATGAATCTTGAGCTAAGAAAATGGAAGGTTGGAAGGGCATTCTGTTTCAACTTGAATCTGCCTGACCTACTTACGAAATGCTAGCTTGTAAAACATGAGCTCCCGGCCTTTGCCAGCAGGAAGAAGATGTTGCTTTTTTCACTTGGGATTCTCAATAGGATTACCTACTCACGTGGTGCCGGTGGCTTCTGGGTCAGTGCCAGGAGATTCCGACCTTCTCCTCAATGCCTTTTGAAAGCCAATATTCAATTCATATTCATGTGAAGCTGTTTATAACCGTCCTATGACCTAATGAAGAAAAAAAGAGTCATTTAAAAACATTTACTGAAACTACCTGTCCCCTATTCCTCAAATTGTCAATTCTCCCTAAAATTTTTTAACTTCAAAATTCTGTCAATAGAAGTATAGTAATCTTTGTGATAGACGTGTGCTGGATAACTGAAAGAGAGGCGAGGGGAGCTCAGCAGAATCTGAGACAAGAATGTAGATGGTGGCGCCTGCGTCCCTTCTCACATTTCTCTAATAAACCGTAAGAAACTTATATCAGGAGCTGACACCTCGATAGTGGCTTTAAAGAATCTTGTCTGTGAAGAGATTTTTTATTTGGTACCCCAAATAAACGTTTCATTATGTTGTTCACATTTAACTAGCTATTTTTATTCCTCATTTGTTTTACTACACTTGCTGTAGTCTTCCAATCAGATTTTCTCAAAGATGACCCAATCAATAGAAATAAAAGTTATAAAAGCCTTTTCAAATTTCATATATTGCCTTTTAGATTTATGAACTTTTTCTTGCCCAGGAAGATCCATATGAGTTGTATGATGAGTTTGTCAGTATTAGACCTTAGCACTTTCATTAGTTAGTTTGTGTCACTTGCTTCATCAGTGGCACCTCAACAATTTTGAGAGTTAAACAAAAGCACAATGTAAACAGTCAGGAAGAAGCAAATTGCCAACATTATTTGTACTTAACTTACCCTTTAGAACAATAACTTCCTGCTTGAATAACTACAGTCATTTTTCCCCCCAAATCTCTTATATATAAACACACAGACTCCGGTTCAGATTCCTTTACACTACAATTACATCAATGTAAGCTTTTACATTTTAAATCCATGTTTATTTTTATTTTATTTCTTCAAATCGATGAACAAATTGAGTGGAAGGAACATCAAACTATGGAGTGTTTGGTTCCCTGTAAACAAAACAATTGATGGGCTGAATATTTCACTTATTGACTTGCGCTAGTATGATGTGGATTCAGCTTTAGTCAAATGAACTCTCTGGATTCAAGGATTGTAGCTTCCGGATTTGCGTCTCTTGTACGTAACAATCCCACTCACTTCGAGTCCAGTCTCCTGTTACTCTCCATTACCATTGCACCCTTTCTTCTGTTCTTTTTATGTTTGTCCTTTGCCATAGCAACCGCAACCTTATTGAAAGAGAAACCATCAAGGATTAAAGAAAGAAATTGAAGATAGACTGACACATTGTGGAAGCTTTGTCAACCAGAATTAAAACATGGAAAAATACTGAAAATGGTATATGATTAGAAAGATATGGAGACTGTAGTCAATGGTTTGCATTAACTACCGCTGGACTGGTCTACGTCAGTGGTTCTCAACCAGTGATGATTTTGCCCCCCGCCCCAGGGGACGTTTAACAATGTGTGGAGACACTTTTGGTTGTCATAACTGGGGGGAGGGCTCTTGGCATCTAGTGGATAGAGGCCAGGGACACTGCTAAAAAACTTGCAATACACCGGGTAGCTCTCCCCCCGAACACTAAAAATTATTTGGCTCAAAACATCAGTAGTGCCGGAATTGAGAAACCCTAGTCTATTTCAAAGGATTCTAGAGCTTGCTTTGTACGAGTGAGAAGATAATCCTGTATCACTATTAGAATATCAATGTGAACTGCTCACCTGTTTGAAAAAGGTAATGCTCACCAATCATGTATCAGACACACTGCCATCCTTTGAGTCTGGCGTATTGGTAATTCAAACTGGGAACACAGGCCACATTTACGTACCCAGACTCACCAGACCAGATACATTGCACGTTGTTTCCAACACCTTAATGTCCAGTTAAGGCTTTCACAGAGTCTGGTCAATTAAGATGTAAGTAGTTGGCCATTAAAATGATTGCATTGATGTGGTCAGTTTCTACTGGAGCTGACATTTGTCCTTTTAAAACCACTAAGAGCCTCTTTCAGAGAAAGTATCACTCATCTCCTTTTGTTTTCACTGGAAAGGTGAATATCTATCAAGAATTTCTTCTCATAGCAATAATGTAAATATCACAGAATGGTCTTGAAGAGGAAGAGATTCAAAATGTGAAAATGCCAGGTCATTTCTTTTAAAAAAAGAAGTGGTTGCCCTTTTACCAGTTCATCATTAATTCAATGGCCAATCCCAAGTGTTAGAACAATATATAGTAAGTCATTTAACACTTGTCAACATGCATAGAATGTACCACACCCTGCGTGAACCCTAATGTCAACTATGGATGTTGGGTGAAAAAAAGACGTGTCGAAATCGATGCACCCATTGTACCCAACGCACCACTCTGATGTGAGATGCTGACCGTGGGGGCGGCCGCGCTTCTGTCGGGGACCAGGGGGTATATGACCACTCTCTGTACCATTCGCTCAATTTCGCTGTGAACCTAAAACTGCTCTAAAAAATAAAGTCTTTTAAAAAGTAATAATAAAAAGTCAAATCTAAATAATAAATAAGTCAAGTGACATAAGCTTTCCAGTGTGGACGTGGAAGCCGGAAGTCCCACGCGCTCCTGCTCTCTGTCCAGTCGTTGCTTTTTTGATCCTGAAGATCTGACATTGGAGGAGATGGGGGTTCAAACTGATGACAACATACATGGAGAGATGCGATCTATTTTTATTTCCTCCTACTTAGTTCATTGATAGTTGCCTTTCCCCAGTTTGATAATACCTCTTTCAACAACCACAGCACTGGTGTTACAAATAGGGTGAGGAAGCACCCGAAGCTGGATGAATTGTGAAAAGTGTATTTTCAGCATGTATATACAATACCATGCCCCTCCAATATGCTTCTCCTAAAAGGGTGCACGCTGCAGCATGAACTGTGTGCATATTTAATGTATCTTCCTGGAATATGCTGTATGCTTACTATACATATTCTATAAATAAAGTAATGACATGTATAATAGAAATACATATTTCTGTATGCAAATAAATATATTATACACAAAATCTTAATATGCAATATGGTATATGTTGCTTCAGAGTACATGATTAGATTTTACATGCTCACTTTTCAAGTAAAATAGAATTTGTTTTTGTAGGAAGAGGTGTGAGAACAACCCAAATCGTACCCATATTACTACTAAACTGTTTTATCTTCTTTGAAAGCATGGTGTTGATTTGAAGTATCTCTTGAAAGAACACATTAATAAATTTTTGCTGGTGTCACCCCATGGGACAACCATGCTTTTTGCTCCTGCTCTTCTGCCCGGACTCTGCCTAGAACCTTCCTGGGTGTCACGGTTCCAACAGCTGTGTTGATCTCACGTCTGATTGCCTGATGAGATTGCAACCAATTCGTTGACATACAGCTTCGCTTGCTCATCTCCCAATTAACTGATTTTTGTCAAATAAAAAATAATCATTCTGGAAGGAAAGAATGACCTTCAGAATGTTTTTCATTCTGAAAACCAAAGTAAAAATTGTGCAAGCACCTATATTTTATAAACTGCTCTTTTCAGTTTGGGTCCAATACCGCATCCCCTACCTTAAATATCGGGGACTTTTAGTGTAGTATGATGTTGCAAGTTTTCCCAAGGAATTATAAAAGAGATGAGTTGTTTCTGGGTGTCCTATATTTCCTCCACAGCAATCTTCTATCTTTGCTGCCCACTCAACTACCCACATTGCCCAGAACATTTTCTTTGGCCTATATTAGCATGACTTCTCAGTGAGCAAATATTGTTATGATATGAGTTGGCACTGGGCTTGCAATCTTAAGAGGTGTTTATGTTTTAATAGAAAAA